ATTTTTATGAATTTTTATTCATTAAATTAATTATTTCAATATTGAAGACTAACAAATTAAGCAGAAATTATTATTTTTTAAATAAGAAAGTTAAATTTGAATTTATTTTTACTTTTATAAATAACACCATTTATGTAGCGCAATCGCATTTCAACAAAATAACTATTTCAATCAAAATGATTAAAAATGTAATAACGGAGGCTACGAAGAAAATCACTATCCATATAGTGTATATAACAAGTATTAAAGATTTGATTAGGTATCCACTATCCATAAATCTTTAGTTATATCCTTAATCTAGAAAAATGTGTGACTAAATCAATGTAGAAAAAGTCAGTTAATACCAAATATCAAATTACGTGGAAAAAACCATCTAGTTTGTGAATCTCGTAAAACTACTGATGTTCATAATATCTATATGTTTTGTTGTATGTGTCAACGTTCGATTATATTTCTTTTCAAAAAAACAAAAAAACGTTCAAATATATTCAAAGGAGATTTATATTAATTTTTTTAACTATAAGATACAATCCTAACTTTTGACAAAAAAAAAAGAAAGAAGAAGATACAAAATCCTAACTAGCTCGAAATCTAATCCAAAAAGGAAACAAGCCTAGATATTTTTTACAAAATCTTAAATATGCGACGGTGTTGTTTAACCGCGACTACGATTTATGTAGTGCAATCGCATTTCAACAAAATAATTCTATCTTAACCACGCCATTTTAAAAAAAGTTCAGTGTTTCTTTAATATAAAATTAAGACATCACATGGATTTTAATTTAGAAATTTAATTGAAAATCTTTGAAATAATAATACTAAATGAATCAATAATTTTTTTTTTGAAACTTTGAATCAATAAGTTTTAAATTATATAACGTTGTACACACCCAAAACATAATATATATAATCGGAACTACTATAAATAGTTTAGCAAAAAAAAAACTACTATTCTGTTTGATGGGTTGTTTTGCTAACCCTTTTCAGGGTTGGTAATTTTTTTCTTCTTCATATAGTGTATGTAGCAAGTATTCAAGATTTGATTAGGTATCCACTACCATGAATCTTTGTGAGGGCCTTTATAATCGCCTATGCTTCTCCCGCGAGTGCCGATTGAATATCGGTATTAAATCCATAGTCTTCCCAAGGTGCTCCTTCATTTCGCTTAAGGCACCATCCTATACCACACTTATTAGTTTCCTTCACCCATGAGCGTTTGTTAAGCAAAAAGGTCCAGTTCTATGCATTGTAGCCATGGGAGTCTCAGCCGGGGAGAGTGTTTTGTAGGCAGGGAGTCCTGCGCTACTTGCCATTCTTTTGTATCTTTAATTGCCTTTGCGAGAGCTCCTCCGGAGAATAAGGTTTGTTCTAAATAATCAGCAGGTTACGAGCTGTTGATATGTTTTATCCCTGATACTAAGTGTAGGAGAGACTCTAATTGATCTGGCGGGTCTCGGTTCAGTTTAATTGTTRCGGTTTGTGGAATTAGATTGAATTGTTAGAGATTCCGGTTAGCAGCTGGTTTAATCCCTTTGTCGTTATATGGGATTAAATTATTAAGCTGTGTGATTGTAACAGAACGATGGGTATCGTCGTCTTC